CCTCCCTAACTCCCCACCTACGTTCACCTTTACTGGCTCCAACCCCGCCTCTTTGACCTGCCTGTCTCCTCTCCACCTATCTTCTCCTTTATCCATCTTCTATCCACCTCCCCCTCTCTCCCTATTTATTTCAGAATCCCCTTCCCCTCCCCCATTTCTGAAGAAGGGTCTCGACCCGAAATGTCAGCTTTCCTGCTCCTCTGATACTGCATGGCCTGCTGTGTTCATGCAGCTCTACACCTTGGTATCTCTGCTGTTTTGCCTGCCACCTATAAAGGCTTTTTTGATACAATTGTTTCATTTTTGAGGCTCTCTGTACTGGCAACTTCAGCTGCTGCTCACAGACATACTTTTTTTTAATTTCTATGTACAGACAAAGCACACATTTCTTAAAGGAACTACACATTTTAGTTTCCTGCCTCCCATTTCACAATTACTCTATTCAACTTCGTAACAAATCAAAGTTTCATGGGTCAGTATATATCAGTCACATCCCTGACTGCAGATGCCCAAAGTAATAGTTCTGGGAGGCAAGGGAGGAAATTACAGGGTAGGGTAGACCCAAATTTTAAATTTCTCACTATCCACAGTGGAGGTGCCAGAGGTTTGGAGGGCAGCTCATGTGGTTCCACTTTTTGGGAAAGGTAATTAAGATAAGTCAGTGAATTATACACCACAGTGTCACATCACTGGTAGGGAAACTACTGAAGAAAATTCTGAAGGAGAAAATTAATCTCCACTCAGAAAAGCAAGGTTTGATGGGTTGAAGGGCCTCTTCTGTTCTTTATGACTCTATGATTACACCTCAATAGGCTATGCAACCAACTGAAGCCATAAAAGTCAGTATAGACATCTGGTAGCATAGAACTTGAGGACTGCACATTCAGGATTATCCAGCAAATGCTGTCTAATTGCAGAATCATATCTAATGCTGGGCACTGTGTTGCAAGTTTTGCAAGCAAGGCCTGGTTGGGTGTGGTCAGTATCTTTTTTGTTGTAAACAGCCAAAGGGATATACTGTTTGGTACAATCTGCCATTTTTTGGACACATGATGCCTTGAGGCGGTCACTCTTGGACATAAAAAGTATTCAGTCTATCTCAGATATCTTGATAGTTTGAGCAACAGGTAAAGTCAGCTACTTCACACTGCTACTATGCAGTGCCAACATGAGTGGTGTATGCCCTAACAAGATTCTGCTGTCAAGCCAAGAAGATAGTCTGCCAGTCACACAAATGAGTAAAGTCAAATATGAATTTCAGTGCTGGTATAATGCAAGGGATGTAGGCCGCAGCTTGCTCTCCAAAATCATCTACTATGTGAAAATAACTAATCAAGTCCATGTTCAGAAATTGACAGTGTAGCTTGGTCATCAAATCAGCTGTACACCAACAACTGGATCCCACAAGGATATGTGATTGCACTGATGCTCTTCAACATATACACACACCAGTAACTTCCTTCCCTCGCAATCCCACTTATCAATTGGCCCTTGCTTTCCAAGTTTATGAGCTTCAGAGCACAAAATATTCATTGGAGATCTATGTTCTCTCGAAATTTAACCAAATACTGCCAAGACCACAATTCCCCAATACAACTTAAAGACAAAGAAAGAATTTAACGTCCATTCTGGAGCTGACCATTGCCCCATGACTGAATGCCACTATACCTTGGCATCACTCCTGACTGTACGGTGACCTTACCAACAACACTTCCAAAGCACCACAGCTGTGTTGAAAACTAATGAAAACCACACAAAAACTAGTGAGTTCCACCTGGGCAGTAGAATCAATATATTATGTGCTGTTGGACTTGCCCTGGTATACCTAACAGCAGATTGCTATTTATGCTGGCTCAGAAATTGCCACACAAATGTGGTAGATAATCATGACCTCCTGGAGATGAATATTTCTAGAACACTGGGACCAACACATCCATCCTTGCCTGGTTTGCCCTACATGTGACTCCAAATCCAGACCCACAGAAACTACTCTTAACTACCCAGAGAAATGGCCTAGCAAGCCATTCAGTTATAACAATTGCTGAAAAGGAAAGGGACGAAACCTGATGGAACCACCTAGTATTGAAGACATTAGAAATGGTAAATAGTTGTGTCAACTCCAGAAAGGTACCCACCATCACAGATGCCAGTCTTTAGTAAATTTGATTTCTTTCACATGATATCAAGACACAGTTGGAGGCACTAGATATTGCAAAGTCTAAGGGCCTGACAACATTCTGACAAAAGTACTGAAAATGTGTGCTCCAGATCTTGCCGTAATCCTTGCCAAGCTGTTCCAGCACAGCTAAAACACAGATATTTATCTAACAACATGGAAAAATGCAGAGGTATGTCCTGTACCCAAAAAGCTAGACAAATCCAACCAGGTCAATTACCGTTCCATCATCTACTCTCGATCATCAGTAAATCAATGCAAGGTGTTATCTACAGTGCCATCGAGCAGCACCTGCTCAGCAACACCGACGCCCACTTTGGGATCTGCCAGGGCCACTCAGCTCTTTACCTCGTTAAACCTTGGTTTAAACATGGACAAAAGAGCTGAATTCAGAGGTGATAGGACAGTGACTGCCCTTGACATCATGCCTGCATTTGACTAAGTGTAGCATAAAGGAACCGGGGCAAAACTAGAGTGTATGGGAATTGGGGACAAACTCTTTACTGATTGGAGTCAAATTTGGCACAACGGAAAATAGTTGTGGTTGTTGGAGGTCTGTCATTTCAGTCTCAGGGCACTAATGAGGAATTCCTCAGGATAGTCTCCTAGGCCCAATCATCTTCAGCTGCTTCAATGACCTGCCCTCATGTCAGAAGGGAAATGTTCATTGATGATTGCATAATGTACAGCACAGTTGGCAATTCAGATAATAAGTGGGATTTCAAAGCTCTTTTAAAAGTTGTCAATCTCCAAGATCATAACACTCTCCCAATTTGTCCTTTAATGAAGATATAGATTAATACTCCCACAGAAATCTGGATAGGGCATTATTAGGCTTCTAACATAGGGGAGGAGCAGAATGTTGGTGTTACAAACAAAACTCAACTCTGCCTAAATACAAAATACGTTGTTAATTAGAGGAGGAAACTTTGACTTATATATTCCATCAGAAGTATAGTATTATATACTGCATGTCTTGCATTAATGTAATGTGATTTTATGTCACTTTAATAGAAGACACAAAACATGATACTGGTATACTGGTTGTTGAGTATTTTCCTAATAATATCAGTCACTTTACACTATTTGCACTGCACTTCAGCAGTGTTACTGCAAACAGTGCAAAGCAAATACTTTCCTGAATAACATTAAATTTTGAAAATAATTGTGAGAAAGTTGAACCACATGTAAGAAAGCAATGACTATAGTTTTCAACTGGCAACTGAAATACTAAGTGATTTGAATATGAATTGCCATTAAAGTCTTGAGTATTGCTTATTCCAATGTCAGAATAACTAAATGTTTCCTTCAAAAATTAATTGGCATTAGCAGGAATAGATTGCATTTTATTAACTTTTCAAATGTTTGAAGAATTTTTTGCAGTTGGAGGTCAATCAGTTGTTTCAGAAAGGCATTGAGCTCTGATCTTCTGATCAGTAATATCAATCAGGATAATTCTATTCTGTTTTTCAACATCCCAGAAATTGGAACTGTATCAAACTAAAGATTCATTCACAAAAGTGTTAAAGATGATCACTCTGAAATCTTAACTCAGGTTCGCTCTCCACAGACATTATGATATCTGCAAAATATTTTCAGCATTCTCTGTCTTTATTTCAGATTCACAACACCCACAGTACACTGCTATTCTATGTATTATTTAATACAGCTGTTGTTTATTGATAGTTTTGTCTCTTCATTCTTTAATTTATCTACACTGAGAAACATGAGCAAACATTTTTTTAACTCCCATCTCCCTGGCCATGAAGTATCGACCTAAATCGTGCAGACCCAATAGCAGCAAGTGCTGTGATGCTAATAGTGCCAAATCTTGTTTGGGGAGCTCAGTGACATCCAAATCTGGAAGCTGCAGTGCACCTGAAAAGGCTTCTCTGGAACACTCTCTGGAACACCAGCTAATGTGTATCATTTAGGAACTTGGGATGGATTTGTGAACACTTAAGTTGGTTCTTAACTGAGTTAATTTGAATTGCTCCAACTAGGTACAAAACCTGCTCAGTAAACAAGGTTTGGCTTCATGGGCAATGTTGTGTAGGCCTTGCTTCTTAGCTCATCATTGGACCCCAGTGCAGCCACAGCAAGTCCACGCTGCAATCTGTGACAAAGATAGAGTTGTACTTCTTCACACAGTCAATGTGAACACCTCCACTTCACTGTCGACTGCAAACCATAGTGCTACTTTTTCAGTTTATACTTATCACTCACAGGGTTACCAACACTTCAGCAGTTTAAAGCAGCAGGGCATGTGTAGTATTGTTGCTTTCACATTTCGCAGCTGGCTGAGTGTGAAGAATGCCATAGATAGGAGAAAGTACAGAAGTATCCTGGTCTTTTCGTCAACATATATACTGTCAAACACAACAGTTGTAATATTGCTTGATCACCATACACATAGGAGCAGGTAAAAGGCAGGTTCATGGTTTATTTAAATTAAAACATCTGGAGAAAACAGATCAAGTCAGGCCAAACACAATTAGACATTGAAATGGCAATAAACTATTTTAGATGTATTGATTTTGAACTGTTTTTCTTTGAGACAAGAAGCGTAAATATATTAAAATAATATATTGCAAATTAACCTATTGTGCATGCCAAACAATTGTAATTCTTCTCAGCAGAAAACTTTACCATTTCAACGAATTAATAAGGGTTAAAATGTAAGATTTGGAGTATTTCGGTGACTTTACTGCTGAATTAACTATCTATTGATGAAACAATTCTAAATATCTCAAAAGTGTTGAGCACTAGGAGCAAAATTTATTACTCTGATTCTGAACCATGTTATAATTATAGGTGAACTAACCTTTAATGGAGAAATGTGAGCATGTGACACATATCCAAGAACATTCTCAACCTGTGATAAGTTCTTCTCAGACACATGTACGAGCTCGGGGCCTTTGACTTCATTGGTTAGCTGTGGTAAGCTATATTCATGTGGTGATGTATCTTCATCTTGATAACGATAGTTCTAAAAAAAGAAATTAAATGAGTGAAAGGAATTGGGAAAATTCATTTATAATTTCAATTCTTAACAGATGTAATAGGTTTCGACTCAGCCACCTCCCAGAGCAGAGCATTCCATCTCCCAAAAAGTCTCTACATAAGTAATTGTTTCAAAATTCACCTATGAATTCACACTCCAGATAGTCTGTCCCTGCTCTTTCTACAGCTCCCTTCAACTACTACAACAGTACACAGGAGTAAAGAAAGTAAAAGTGCCATTTTTATTCATAAATTCAACTGTAAAATAACTGTAACAATGGGGTTGAAATGGTTTCTTCAACATTCTGCACTGAGGCCAATTCCCGCTGAAATAATGATAGTCTCTGTCCGTGGATTCATACGTAAATCTATTTATATACAAATTGCCTTGGATACACTTCAGCATTCATGATAGACTACAAATTTCATCGCACATGTAGTGTGAGAGCTGCTATCATACTTTGTCTAATTTTAATACCTAGATAATCATAGCCTCAATTCCCACTGAACAAAACTCGTCAGGACCAAGCTCTGCTTATGTATTTCAGACAAACATCAGTTACAGAGGAAAAAAACTCTAATGAAGTTGCATCTCAATGCTGAAATGCTGCTGTGGATTAACTCCACATAATTCTGGCTGCTCATATTTCACTGGCCGCTCTCAGTTTGAGATTGATCTCTCATCCGTAGCTACTGAAGTAAATTGATTCACGTTATCAGCTCGTAATAACCACGCGGAAATAGATTTTTTACACTTATAGAGTCATACAGCATGGAAACAGACCCTTCAGTCCAACTAAGCCCAGCCAACCATGTTCCCAAGCTAAACTAGTCCCATCTCCCTGCGTGTGGCCCATATCCCTCCAAATTTATTCATGTATTTATCCAAATGTCTTTTAAACGTTGTGATAGTACCTGCATCCACCACTTCCTCGGTAGTTCATTCCACATACTAACTACTCTCTGTGCTTCTCAGGTCCTTTTTAAATAATTTTGAAAAATCAGTTTCCTCCACTTTTAAGTAGAAATGCTAGGCCATTGTAGTATTGTGGTACAGGACACTCCTCGTTGATGTTCTACATTGAGTAGAGCTAATTATGCTTTATACAGCTTAGCTAGCAGGTCCTTCAAACTACTGAAGTAATCCAGCAAGTACTCTGTGCTTCAGTTATGCCTCAGCACCAGATAGGAATATCAACTGCTGAATATCTACATATTCAAACTCAGGACTTAAAATGGAGTACAATACAAGTTGTTCGAGGGAACAAAGAATAATCAGTAAAAATATGGCATGCCAAGTTCATTTAGTCTGAACGAGCTTTTCCAGGGCTCTGCCTCCAGCTGCTTCTTGAACAGCCCATCAGACATATGAATATGTGATGACACAACCCTACCTGAGCACTTTGTAATATTTCTATCTGATGTTACCAAGTCTGACTAGCTTCAAGACTCCTTTGCAAGGCTGAAAAGTTGGTTAGAAAATAGCACTGTGAACTTCTTTGAAGTTCAATTTTTAAAAATGGATTTTGCAGACAAAACACCATAATAGCAGGAATCACAGAATCTAAAGATTGTTATGGTGCATAAGGAGGCTCATTGTGCTTGTACTGGCTCTTCAAGCAAGCATCATTACCTAGTGCCAATCTCTTACTTTCTCCCTATTCCCTTGCACACTATTTCTATCCAAATAATCATCTAATGCCCTCTTGAATGCTTCAATTGAATCTGCCTCTATCACGTTTCCAGGTAGATCATTCCATTCTCTAACTACTTGCTAAGTCAAAAGTATTTTTTCACTTTACCTTTGCTTCTTTTGCGCTTCATTTTAAATCTATGCTTTCTTGTTCTTGAGCAGACACAGTTACTCCTATTCTGTCCAGGTCACTCATGATTTTGAAAACCTCTATTAAATCGCCTCTCAGCCTTCTTCTTTCTAAGGTGAACAGTTCCAATTTTTTCAATCTATCCTCATAACTGAAGTTGTTTACTCCTAAGACCATTTTTGAAAATTGTTTCTGCATTTGTACTAATATATTTACATCTTTCCTAAAATGTGGCACTTATAACTGTACACAATACTCCAGCTGAAATCTAAATAAGTGTCATATGGAAGTTCAACATCACCTCCTTGCTCATTCTTCTCTATGCTCTTATTAAGGAAGCTAATGATATTGTATGCTTTATTTGACTGCTTTCTCTGCTTGTCCTGCCACCTTCAATGACCTGTGCTCATATACATCTCAGTCCCTCTGCTCCTGCACCCAATTTGGAATTGTATTTCAATGTTCTTCATTACTTCACACTTCTCTGCTTGAACTTCATCTGCCATGTATCACTCCACCAACTTGTCAATACCCTTTTGGAGTTCTACACTGTCCTCCTCACCAAATACAATTCTTCCAAGTTTCATGTCATCTGCAAACTTTGAAATTGGTCCCTGCACATCAAGATCCAGATCATTAATATATATCAAGACTGCACTGTGGCTCAGTGGATAGCACTGCTGCCTGTCAGTGCCAAGGACCCATGTTTGATCCCAACCTCGGACGGCTGTCTATGTGGAGTTTGTACATTCTCCCTGGGTCTGTGTGGGTTTCCTCTGAGTGCTCCAGTTTCCTCCCACAGTCCAAAGATTTGGTTAGGTGGATTGGCCATGCTAAATTGCCCATCGTAACCAGAGATTTGCAGGTAGGTGGATTAGCCATGGGAAATGCAGGGTGATCGGGCAAGGAGGTGGGACGCTCTTCAGAGGGGTGGTGTGGACTCGATTGTCCAAATGGCCTGCTTCCACACTGTTGAGATTCTATGATCAAGAAAAGTAAGGATCCCAATACTGATCCCTGGGGAACTCCACTACAAACCTCCTCCAGCCTGAAAATATCCAATGACTATTGATCTCTGTCTCATAATACTTAGCCAATTCTGTATCTGTGTTGCTACTGTCCCTTTTATACCACGGCCTATAACTTTCCTCATCAGTCTGTTGTGTGGCATTGTATCAAGCATCCTTTGGAAATCCACATATATTACATCAACAATGTTGTTATCATCGAGCCGATCTATTCCGCTCATTTTCTGTTTCATCTATCTTTTCAGAAAACTCCAGCAACCTAATTAAATATGATTTCCCCTTTAGAAATCCATGCTAACACTTCCTAATCAATCGTATCTTTTTCCTGGTGACTACTAAATGCATTCAAAATAATTATTTCTGGAACCTTCCCTACCAATGAAATTGAACTGACTAGTTTATAATTGCTGGGTTTATCCTTACAAGCTTTTTCGAACAAGCCCATAATATTTACAGTCCTCCAGTTTTATGGCACCTCCCCTGAGGGAAGATTGAAAAATTATGGCTAATATCCCCATATTTTCTACCCTCACTTCCTTCAAACTTTTTGGATGCACCTCACCTGGTCCTGGTACTGCAATTTTAAACTCCAATAGTCTATCCAAGACTTCTTCCTTATTAATTTTGAACCTTTCTCATGACAGAATTTTCTCCTCTGACACTGCGGCCTGTGTAGCATCCTCCTGTTTTGTGAAGATAGATAAAAAATACTAAATTTAACACCTTTGCCTCCAGAAGGCAGGGGATTGAGGGTTGTGCCCACGACAAGCAGTCTGTAGTTCTGTGCCTCTTCACCAAGGAAGGGCCTCCAGGTCTGCCTGGTGTTATTCATCCCATCTGCCCCCCATCCCCACACCTCCATTCATAGTTGTTTCCAGACATCTAAACTGGGCAGGCATACTGGCCAGCAGGGGTATTTTTAGTCTCAGAAACAGAGCTGGCTGGACCTTAAAAACATGCTCCTGGAAACTAAATTTGAACAAGGCATGTCCTAGCTTTGCACGTGTTGTTCTTGCAAAAGGAGGAATCAGGCAGCAAAGTGAATCAACAGTCATGTTATTTGAATATACAGATAGGACAGTTCAATTGTGGAACATTTTCTCTTGCAAAGTGTGTGAAGTTTTTTCATTTGCATATAAATTTATAGTGATACCAGAGCCATAGGTGACCAGAGTACAGAAAGGAGGCAAGACTTGTTGGAGCAGTGCTACTAGTGCCTCTGGGCCTGTGATGACACTAAAGATTAACAGGATATGAAGAGGGCAAGTTCAACAACACATCTTCTGTCACCTTGGAGCTGGACTCCTCTATGTTCTCCAGCAATTGAACACGGCTACTTGGTAAACCAACCAACACACCCAGCATGTCAATATGTATGCCCACCAGTCCTGTCCTGTATGCTGCCTCAATGAAGTCCTTGCTGGAAGCCTCTACAGAAGAATTCCCTACCACCTCACCCACTGATGAACTGGTCAACAATTTTTCCTTCAACCCTGGCCTAACTGCAACCCTCCTTGTGTGGATGCAGTGCTAGTCTCTGAACAGGTGGCTGTGACTGTCAGAACAAGTGATGGAATTTTTTCATCAGTGTTATATGTTGCTATTTTGTTTCTAATCTCTTGGTACCACTGCGGATGGATAGGCAGCAGCAATGTATCTGAGAACAGGAACTCAGAAAGGAAAATTTGGTGTAAAAGAAATTAGGTAGACTAGAAACAGGAAATCCACACTTGGATCACACTTGTAAGCTGCTAATCGTGTTATATCACTGAATGAGTGTGAGCTGCCAATTGAGAAGTGATTTAAGACAGTAAAATAACATAATTCTCAATTCTCTCAATAATGATGTACATTATGGGCCTGTCCCAGTCAATACCATGATGCCGAGAATCATCTCCTTTGGTGATATAAGGAGATGCAGGTATCCTTGTTCCGTATTGGATTTGCTTTGCTTACTAAATGTCACTTTCCCTGGAAACGAGACAGCAGAACACCAGTGGTAGCAAAGGTACTGTGCTTAAATGAATATCTGGAGTTTAAAGTTTTGGCGAAGATCTATAGCTCAGGTTGTGGGTGAGGTTGTTGACTTGCTCGCCGAGCTGGCTTGTTTTCATTCAGACGTTTCATCACCATGA